CTTCCGCCTCAGCCTTCCGAGTAGCCGGAATTACAGGCACGCGCTACCACGCCCGGCTGATTTTTTGATTTATTGTAGAGATGAGGTCTCGCCAAGTTGCCCAGGCGGGTCTCGAACCCACGGGCTCAGGCAATCCACTCACCTCAGCCTCCCAAAGGCGCGGGATTACAGGCTGAGCCACCGAGCCCGGCTACCTAACATATTCTTTCTCAACACCTGCATGGTTTGCTCCTACTTCTTGGGTCTCTAAGTCAATGTTAACTCATCACACAAAGACCCTCTCACCACTCTCTATCTTCCTTGCCCTGCTTTTTCCTTCCTTCTTTATAGTATTAATCACCAGTTGATATATTATTCATTGTCTTCCCCTACTAAAATACAAGCTGGGGATAGGTGGTTTTGTTTATAATAGCACTTGGTGCTGAGGACTAAACAAGACCCCTTTGTCTTTCTCTCTTACCCAAATTTCTAACTAAGAGGGTGGGGAGTCACTGCCTGACCCACCAAACAGGGTTTTGGTACCCGATAACCCTATATCCTAAAGTTTACTCTCCAACCTGACTCTGGCATAACATAACAAATAAAGAAGGTTTATCGCCCTGCAAAGCCAAATCATGGATTCTCAGACTCCAGGAAGCCTTGGAGGATACTTATCTATCCTCCCTAAAGAGGGCCACAAACAGAGCATCTACATATCAACGAAACTAGAGTTTTTCACTCCCTTGTCTTAACAAAGCTTCTCCTCTACTGATTTCCCAAATATCTCAGATAGGTTTAATTACCAAACAAGAAATCTTTGAATCCGCCTATCACTTACAAGCCCCATTTCGAAAGGGTCCTGCCTTCCTGGGCCAAACCAATGAATATATCACATGTATTGATTTATGGTTTCTTGTAACTTCTGCCTTCTTGAAATATATATAACCAAGCCATCGTTTGGCCACAAGGGGCACTTGTTCTCAGGACCTCCTGAGGATGGGTGTACCCAGGCTTAAGTCCTCAAGTTTGGCTCAATAATAAACCATCTTAAAATATTTTATAGAATCTGGCATCTTTTTTGTCAACAGTGCATTGAAAGAGCATGATAAATTATCTGTCGAGGGAGTGAATGAATGCTTAGAAAAGAGGATGAGAAACCTATTCATCTCACAAACTTTGGAAGGATACAGATTCATCACTTAGGACACAGTCAAACAGGCTTCGAGAAGAGATGTGTCTTTTTCAATTCTGTCTCTACTTTGGCCAAGACTGAGCATGAAAACAGAAGACAGCCTGTGGACTTTTCTTTTATAGATGGATGCTCCAGCCTGGCGGAGCTGTTTAGTAAATACTCCAGATTTGCTCCCTGCTCCAGTCTATTCATTAGGCCCCAGCAGCCTGTCAACAGGAGGAGTGGTGTCTTTTTCTTGGTTGTAATTGGGATATGACCTTCCTCAGTTCAGAACCTTGAGAAATACACTTGTTCATGGCCAAGAAAAATTGAGTAACTTTCCCAGGGCATACATTACCTCAGGAGAGTGATGGGGGCATTGACAGAGGTTACATAAATCCTGGAGGCATTGACAGAGGTTACATAAATCCTCTGGGTCACCTTGGTTCACCTCAGGCTCTCTACTGGAAATGGACAGTGTCCTTGAGGGACCTGAGCTCAGATCACTGGGGACGGGTCAACATTGCCCTCTATATCAGAACTGAGCCAAAGCTCCAGCTCTACCCAGGAGGCACCACTAGAACCTCTTGATCTCTCAGCGTTGGGCTCCTCATCCACATAGAACAAGGATGCTACACTTCCTTAATTCCAGAGGTTACCTCCAGTTCCGATGTCCTAGAAACCCTACCTCCTCTTTCCACCTGTCATCTTTTTTGCAGATGATGAAAACTTCATACAAGGTCACAGGCCAGGCGCAGTGGTTCACACCTATATTCCCAGCACTTTGGGAAGCCGAGATGAGAAGACTGCCTGGGTTCAAGACCAGCCCGGGCAACTTGGTGAGACCTCATCTCTACAATAAATAAAAAAATTAGCTGGACATGGTGGTGCACGCCTGTAGTCCCAGTGACGTAGAAGGCTGAGGTGGAAAGATCTCCTGAGCCCAGCAGGTCGAGGCCGCAGTGGCCGTGAGCGTGCCACTGCATTCCAGCCTGGGCAACAGAGTAAGACTCCAACTCAAATAAATAAGCAAATAAATAATAAAAGGCCAAAAGGTTAGGACTGTGATTGAGGCCTGAATTCCGTTAGTATATAAACACAGCTAAGTCATAAGGCTCTCTTTAGCCTTTTCTCCCTCCATGCATATTGTAGTCCCTGATGCTGTCCGTAAGATTAACAAATTTGTTTTTCTATTGAAGAAGAATGGGCTGCAGGTTGCTGAACAACTTTATCCTTGATGGTATCCATAAGTTTAACGGGCTCAAGGGTGTGAGTAGCTTTGATCACTAGGAATTTCCTCCTTCCGCATCTACCATTCACAAGAAGTGTAACTTCCCTAATTGCTCCTATAGATAACATAAACCTAAGACCAGTGTTGGAGATATTTTTCAGACCCTGCATTCTAGTAGATGTCAACTGGACCAGTAACCCATGAACCCCACCCAGAAACTGAGTGGGCACTCGAAGACATTCTCGACGCCTCTGATTTCATCCCCAACCAATCAGCAGTCCCAATTCCCTAGCCCCCTGCCGGTCAGATTACCCTTAAAAACCCTAGCCTCTGAGTTCTGGAGAGGCAGATTTGAGAAATGTCTCCTGTACTCGTCGTTCAGTTGCTTTGCTGTTATTAAACTCTCTCTATTGCGACATCTGCCACCTAAGTCTTGGCTTTTCTGTGCAGCAGGCATATAAACCTGGGAGGCTATAACAGAGGGACCTATCTCGCCCAGTCACCCAGCTGATGAAATGCAGAAACAGGACTAAAATTCAAATTCAATGCTCTTTCCATTATGGACTTAAATTCTCAAGCCTATGGATGTCAAACTACTCAGTTCCAAAAGTCTTTGATCATGGAGTCCCTTTGGCAGGAAAAAGATCCCATGGGTTATTTAAGTAAGTGATGGGTCAAACTCTACTGCTGGGTAAGGAGAGGGAACAGAGAAGAAAAACCAAAACCTGAAAATAATCAGTCTCACTAAGGATATACAGTCCTAGGACCCTATTGCCAGCTCTTACTACAATCAATAAAGTAAATGGTGTTATTTTTGATAACACAGGTAAAATTTGCATTTATGCAAATTTTAAATACTACAAATATGTACTGATTCATTCATGTATTTATGAATGACAGACTTTATAGCAAGAACAAAGTCATTGTTCTGGGAAACCAGTCACCTATCCACCCTGCTCACTAGCATTCAACAATCTAGTGACTTTTACCAAGTTTTCTTTTCTTCTAGCATTTTCTAATCAAATGTTTACAGCAAGACTGGATTACATTAGTTCCATGGCTAAATGCCAGTAATTTGTACTACAGACTCTGAGACAATGTCTTTTCAATTTACCTTACTAATTTTCAACTTTGTAGTAAGACTAATCCAAAATCTTCCAACTCTTCCTTCTCCAATGTTCAGTCATTTTTGTTTATCTAGCTTCCTTTATTTTCCAAGATATATCTAAATTTACTATTTTACTTTCTTCTTCCTTTATTCTGTAAAATGAGGCTGGATGGTACAGATTCTTATCCTGACCAGAGATGATGAGGAAATTGGAACACACAGATGTTAAGGGATTGCTAAATAAAGAGAAACTTTGTACCCCATGTTATTTGTCAAATCTAAATAAGCAATGCAGATTTGGATGTGCTGTCAGCCAGGATACAGCATTGTCCTTATGATGTAGAACCACTTCCTAAATGGTATTCAATGAATTCACCTATAAATCGTATCAAAGATTTCACTTTTGTTTGTGAGAAAAACTTCTAAATGACATTCACATATTGAAAAAAAGACACTTATGAGAGCAAATGGGTGGACAGAAGTAATCATTTTTATTTTTATTTTATTTTTATTTGGAGTCTCACTCTGTCGCCCAGGCTGGAGTGCAGTGGCATGCTCATGGCCACTGCAGCCTCAACCTGCTGGGCTCAGACGATCCTTCTGCCTCAGTCTTCCAAGTAGCTGGAAGTACAGGTACGCACCACCACGCCCAGCTAATTGTTTGATTTATGTAGAGACGAGGTCTCGCCAAGTTGCCTGGGTTAGTCTCGAACCCCTGGGTTTAGGCAATCCTCTCACTTCGGCCTCTCAAAGTGCTGGAATTACAGGCTTGAGCCACCGTGCCTGGTCAAGTAATCATTTTTAGTAGGATTCATAGAACATCTTCCTGTGGGGCTCAGTCTATATATGCATAAAACTGACATCATGATTACACTGTAAGTCTGTGGAAAATTCTAAACAAAATATTTCAGAAGGGGCTTATCATCTTGTCTGTAGCATATTACACAGCAGTAATTATAACAAAAATGATGGTGATAGCTAATACATATTGAGCACTTACTAAGTGCCAGGTGCAAATATCTCATTTAATCCTTCATGTGACAAATTTTTTTATTCTCATATAGGTGAGGAAACTGAGGCACAAAGAGGTGAAATAAACTGGACTAAATTCCCAAGGCTAGTAGTCTGGCCCTTAGGCATGAGCTGCTATGATTATAGACATGTGAGAGGTTTTCTTTCCTTTGCTTGAGTTGGGGGTGTCTCACTCTGTCACCCAGGCTGGAGTGCAGTGGCACGATCATGGCCCACCGCAGCCTTGACCTAGACTCAGGCAATCCTTCGCCTCAGTCTCCCGAGTAGCTGGGACTAAAGGTGCGCCCCACCACACCTGGCTAATGTTTTATTTTATTTTTTCGTAGAAACGAGGGCTCGCTATATTGCCCAGGCTGGTTTCAAACTCCCAGGCTCAAGCCATCCTCCCTCCTCAGCCTCCCAAAGTGCTGGGATTGCAGGCACGAGCCCACCACGCCCGGCCTGTTTTTGTTGTTTTAGCCAAGACAAATCCGACCTACCATTCTGAAGTCCTCTTCAAATTTGAAAGCTCCACCTCCTGTGGCACAGAGGGTGGTGTGAAGGCTGGAGAAGTTCTTCTCGCTGCCCATCTGAATGAACCTGTGCATGGCACAGCTGGGAAAGCGGATGAAGTGCAGGTTCCCTTTGCGCCCACACATGGTCAGGTTTTTAAGTTCCAGGTGGACGTCTCGGATCCCGGTTTTCCCATAAGCGGTGTTCGAAGTCAAATACTTCCGGATGCTCTTCAAGTTCTCCACTTCCTCTTGTTCCTCCTCGGCTGTGATATCCTTCGGTTCAAAGTAGACCAACTTAACCAGTGTTCCACCGATATCCATGCCGAACCACGGGAATGCTGGAGGACAGAAAGGAACAGTGGCGCTAAACGCTACACGTGCCAAGAAATGTTCAGTTGCCGGACAGTCAAGAGGGAAATGCAGAGGTGTCCCCATCTACATGGGCGTTTAACATTCTACTTATCTGAATTCAACTGTATGTGCCTAAAAGAAAGCACAAGCAGCCATGCACGGTGGCTCACGCCTATAATCCCAGCACTTTGGGAGGCAAAGGCAAGATTGCCTGAGCTCAAGGATTCGAGACAGGCCTGAGCAACATGATGAGACCTCGTCTCTACAATAAATAAAAAAATTAGCAGGGCGTGGTGGCGCATGCCTATGGTTCCAGCTACCTGGAAGGCTGAAGCAGAAGGATCGCCTGAGCCGAACAGGTCGAGGCTGCGGTAGCCATGAGCTGTGTGTCACTCTCCAGCCTGGGTTGCAGAGTGAGACTCCGACTCAAAAAAAGAGAAAGCACAGGCAGAGAAAACTTCACAATTAAAAGGGTACTCATGACTCTGTCCACACTCCACCTGATGTCTCAGAATTGATTCATGAGAAACAGGATTCTGTGGTTCTCTAAGCCAGTCTCAATCCCCAAGTGCTTCTCTCACCAGCTGAGTGTGCTTTTAATATTTAAAGATATTTTACTATATATCTAAATATACCGTATTTACTCTATATATATATATAGTATACATCTTGTCTCCCAAATGCCAACGATCTTAACAGAATCTTAGCCAAAGAAACTGATCTGTTTCAATCCCAGAGAAAAATGGACTGATGCTAGATCAATACACCAAGAGAAGGTGTGTTGGCCTCTACCCCACATGGTTCCTTCCCAGGGCGGTTTTTCAATGATTTAATTTTTGCCATAGCTGACTTTATAAGACGTGACTCCGGTGTTTTAATCTACACAACATAAAAAGAGGAAAAAGGGAGAGAAAAAGTGGAGTATGAGAGATGATGAGAGCGGGGTGTGATGATTCACACCTGTAATCCCAGCACTTTGGGAGGCTGAGGCGAGAGGACTGCATGAGCCCAGGCATTTGAGCCAGCCTGGGCAACATGGCAAGACTTCGTCTCTACAATCAATCAAAAAATTAGCATGGTGTGGTGGTGCACGTCTGTGGTTCCAGCTACTTGGAAGGTGGAGACGGAAGGAATGCCTGAGCCGAGCAGATCGAGGCTGCAGTGGCCGAGAACGTGCCTCTGCACTCCAGTCTGGGAGATGGAGTAAGACTCCAACTCAAGAGAAAAAAAAAGAGAGATGATGAGCAGACACGATGATCTATGGTGGAAGAAGTCTAGAAAGAACTAGGTTCATGCTACACCTGATTTCTTTCTGCGTTAGGCAGAGGCACTATTTCCATCCCCAATAGCATGCCCAGAAGTTCTCAAACTGGCTGCATTTTAGAACCACCTGGAAGGCTTCTAACATTCAATTTTCGGTCTCCTTTCATACAGCTTCTGATTCAATTCAGGTGCGGAACTCAGGCATGAGTTTTTTTTAAAGCTCTCCAGTGGAAGTGCCCTCCATATGAGCCTTTATCAAATTGCATATTATATTGTCAGAAACATAAGTGGACCCTACAGTCTTTATTTTAAGCACCCCTACTGGTACTTAGCTTTTAATTCAGGAGGGCTGAGGGAAGGCGGCACAGCAGGAAACCATCTCTGTAAACAAAATCTTTTCTCCTTACAGTTTTTTTGGCTTTGATCCAAGCCAGTTGCTCCACACTTGGTGAGCAGTAACTCTAACAGTATAGAAAAAATTCTGCCGGGCTCAGTGGCTCAGCCTGTAATCCCGTGCTTTGGGAGGCTGAGGTGAGGGGATTGCCTGAGTTCGTGGGTTCGAGACCTGCCTGGGCAACTTGGCAAGACCTCATCTCTACAATAAATCAAATATTAGCCGGGCGTGGTAGCACGCGCCTGTAGTTCCAGTTACTTGGAAGGCTGAGTGGAAG